TTCAAATGCTCATCAACAATAAACAGACTGTAATATACCCATACAATGTTCATACAATAAATACTAATCAGCAATAAAATGCAACTATTTACCTGTGCAACAACATGGATAAATCTCAAAATAAACAGATTAAGTGAAAAAGTCACTTAATCACTTAATGATTCTATATCTAATCCTAAAGTGTCAGATCAGGGGTTGTCTGAGGTGAGAGGATGCAGAGATAGATGGAATACCAAGGAGCAGGAGGTAACTAATAGGACTGATGAGAGTAATGGATGTTCAATATCTTGATTGTGGTTTAATACAAAATTATAAGTTTGGGGGCCAGCAATGCCAGCATCCCTCATTGGAGCACAGGTTCGAGTCCCAGCTACTCCACTTACGATCCACATTCTTGCTAATGCACCTGGGAAAGTAGCAGAAGATGGCCCCAATGCATGGGCCCCTACCACTCATATAGGAGACCCAGATAGAGTTTCAGGTTCCTTGCTTCTACCTGTCCCAGAACCAGCTGTTGTGGCCATTTGGGGGATGAACCAGTGGATAGATCTCTGTGTCATTCTGCCATTCAAATAAATCTGCATTTTAAAAAAATTTTAAACTTTAATCTCACTTTATTGTACATCAAAAAGGATGCAAACCAAATCCAGTAATATATAGAAACCATAATCATGTAAGGGGTTCCCAAGATTCCCTCTAGTTTATTTTTTAAAAAAAGATTTACTTATTTATCTGAAAGGCAGAGTTACAGAGAGGCAGAGGCAGAGAGAGAGAGGTCTTCCATCTGCTTGTTCACTCCTCAAATGGCCACAATGGTTGGAGCTGAGCCAATCTGAAGCCAGAAGCCAAGAACTTCCTTCGGGTCTCCCACGTGGGTGCAAGGGCCCAAGGACTTGGGCCACCTTCTACTGCTCTCCCAGGTCACAGCAGGGAATTGGATCAGAGGTGGAGCAGCCAGGACTTGAACCAGTGCCCATATAGGATGCGAGACCGCAGGCAGTGGCTTTACCTGCTACACCACAGCACTGGTGCCCCCTCTATTTTCTGTAACTCAATAGTGTTATCCCCTTCAAGGAGAGCACCATTATGTGGGGAGGGACCCCAAAATTGGGTACATTGTCATTCAATATCACAAAGACAATAATGAAACTGAATCTGAGCGTCAAAAACCTAAGATTTACTCAGCAGCCAAAGAATGGAAAAGAACCTAACTCACCGAGACAGAATCCTGGGTTCAAGTTCAGACTGCTCTACTTCCCATCCAACTCCCTGCTAATGTGCTTAGGAAAGCAGCAGAAGATGGCCCAAGTGCTTGAGCCCCTGCCACCCTTGTGGGAGACCTGGATGAGGCTCCTGACTCCTGGCTTTGGCGTGGCCTCGCCCTGGCCTTTGCGGACATCTAGGGAGTAAATCAGCAGGTAAAGTACTTGTCTCTGTGTGTCTGTGTGTGTGTGTGTGTGTGTGTGTAAAACTATGATTTTCAAATAAATAAGTCTTTTTTAAAAAATCTAGGGGTCAGCACTGTGGTGTAGTGGGTAAAGCTGCTGCCTGCAGTGCTGGCATCCCATATGGGCACCAGTTCGAATCCTGGCTGCTGTACCTCTGATCCAGCTCCTTGCTGTGGCCTGGGAGAGCAGTAAAAGATGGCCCAAGTCCTTGGGCCCCCACACCCATGTGGGAGACTCGGAAGAAGCTCCTGGCTCCTGGCTTCGGAGCAGTGCAGCTCTGGCCATTGTGGCCAGTTGGGGAGTGAACCAGCGGATGGAAGACTTCTCTCTCTCTGCCTCTCCTTCTTTCTCTGTGTAACTCTTTCAAATAAAATAAATAAATCTTTCTTAAAAATCTAGCTCGCAAATCAACATCTCAATCAGCTGGGGGCTCATGAGTCATACAGAGCCAACAGGAATGAGGTGGACAAATATGCTAATAAGTGGGAAGAATATTCATAATTTTCTGAGAAAGGGTTATTGTAATTCTCAGAAGCCAGGAGCCAATTTCTTTTTGTCCTTTTTTGGTCAAGAACAATTAGGAATTGCGCTGGTACTCATGGGAGTGTCTTTTAGCACAGAAATGAGATTATTATGAGGCTTGAGGTCACACTGGCAGCCATCTTAGATCTCACCAATCTAAACCAGTTAGCCTGAGGAGGAGCTTCGCTTGGTAAAGCCATTCTGTCCTCAAAGAGAAACAATGTTAGGGTAGAGGTAGAAACCCAGGCACTGCCCTAGATAACACAGGGGTTCACAGGAGTCAGCGCACAGTCACGCTCATGGTCATGATTTATTACAGCGAAAGGATGCAAAGATCAGCCAAGGAAAAACGCAAATGGAATGAAGTTCACAGGAAAACCAAGCATCAGTATCCAAGAGATTTCTCCCAGTGGAGTCACAATTCCCCAGGAAGAAGCTGGTCTTTTGTTTTTGTTGTTGTTGTTTTAAGGTTTATTCACTTATTTGAAAGACCATCCTCTGCTTCAGTCCCCAAATGGCTGCACCAGCTAGGACACCTGGAACACCACTCCATGGGTAGCAGGGGCCCCTTCTGCGGCTGTCTTCCCAAGAGTATTAGCAGGGAACTGGATTTAAAGTGGTGCAAGGCTGGCGCCGCGGCTCACTAGGCTAATCCTCCACCTTGCGGCGCCGGCACACCAGGTTCTAGTCCCGGTCGGGGCACCGGATTCTGTCCCGGTTGCCCCTCTTCCAGGCCAGCTCTCTGCTGTGGCCTGAGAGTGCAGTGGAGGATGGCCCAAGTGCTTGGGCCCTGCACCCCATGGGAGACCAGGAGAAGCACCTGGCTCTTGCCTTCGGATCAGCGTGGTGCGCCAGCCGCAGTGGCCATTGGAGGGTGAACTCACGGAAAAAGGAAGACCTTTCTCTCTGTCTCTCTCTCTCTGTCCACTCTGCCTGTCAAAAAAAAAGAAGAAGCAAAAAAAGAAAGTGGTGCAGCCAGCACAGCTCCAGCCGTTGCAACCAACTGGGGAGTGAACCAGCAGATAAAAGCTCTCTCTCTCTCTCTCTCTCTGCCTCTCCTTCTCTCTGTGTAACTCTTTCAAATAAATAAATATTAAAAAAAAAGACACTGGAGGTTCCTTTGAAACTAATTTTTATCATTATTTTCTGCTTCCACCCCATTCATACAAATACCACACCATCACTGTTTCCAGCTCTCTTTAAGTGCAGATTGTAGAAATCACAGAAGGTGGGCTGGGTGTTCGACACAGCAGTTAAAGACACTGTTTGGGACACCACATCCTATATTGGAAGTGCCTGGCTTCAAATCCCAGCTTCCTGCTAATGTATACCCTGGGAAGCAGCAAGTGATGGCTCAAGTACTTAGTTGGGTCCCTGACACTTATATGGGAGACATGGATTGAGTTCTAGCTTCTTAGTTTTGTTTTGGCCTAGCCCCAGACACATTTGGGGAATGAATCAGCAAGTGGAAGATCAATGTCTCTGTGCCTTTCAAATAAATAAAAATAAATTTTAAAAATTCAAGTTTCGGCCGGCGCCGCGGCTCACTAGGCTAATCCTCCGCCTAGCGGCGCCGGCACACCGGGTTCTAGTCCCGGTCGGGGCGCCGGATTCTGTCCCGGTTGCCCCTCTTCCAGGCCAGCCCTCTGCTGTGGCCAGGGAGTGCAGTGGAGGACGGCCCAGGTGCTTGGGCCCTGCACCCCATGGGAGACCAGGAAAAGCACCTGGCTCCTGGCTCCTGCCATCGGATCAGCGCGGTGCGCCGGCCGCAGCGCGCCGGCCGCGGCGGCCATTGGAGGGTGAACCAACGGCAAAAAGGAAGACCTTTCTCTCTCTCTCTCTCTCTCTCACTGTCCACTCTGCCTGTCAAAAAAAAAAAAAAAATTTAAAAAAAAAAAAAAAAATTCAAGTTTCTTCTTTAGTGAGAAAAAAAGAGAGAAGCAAGCCCAGAAGGCAAGATGATAAGGTCATTTTCCCTTAAGAACATACAGAGGTTCCTCTCAAGTTTTGTTAAACCCTGACCTCCGCAAGCAATCACCACTCTAGTCCAGTAGTTTTACTGAACAGATAGAAAACTGGACATCAAAGAAACAGACTTGGAGCAGGCATTTGGCCTAGCAGTTAAGACACCCAGGTCCCATATCACCCAACCCCAGTTTGAGTCTTTTTCTGCCAATGCATACCCAGGGCGGTATTCAGGTGGTGGCTCAAGTAACTGGGTTTCTGCTACTCTCATGGGAGACCTGGATTGAGATCCCAGCCCCTGGCTTCAGCCCTGATCCAGTCCCAGACACTGCAGGCATTTGTGGAGTAAATCAGCATATGAGAGATCTTTCTGTCACTCTGCCTCTCAAATTTTTAAAAAGGGAGTTTTGGCCCGCGCCACGGCTCACGAGGCTAATCCTCTGCCTGTGGCGCCAGCACCCCGGGTTCTAGTCCCAGTCGGGGTGCCGGATTCTGTTCCGGTTTCCCCACTTCCAGGCCAGCTCTCTGCTGTGGCCAGGGAGTACAGTGGAGGATGGCCCAAGTGCTTGGGCCCTGCACCCCATGGGAGACCAGGAGGAGGCACCTGGCTCCTGGTTTCGGATTGGCACGGTGCACCGGCCACAGCGTGCCACCAGGGCAGCCATTGGGGGGGGGGGGTGAACCAACAGAAAAAGGAAGACCTTTCTCTCTCTCTCTCTCTCTCTCTGTCCACTCTGCCTGTAAAAAAAAAAAAAGGGGGGGGGGAGTTTGGAGGTGGGCATTTGGCATGAGACACTTGTACCCCATATCAGAGTGTCTGGGTTCAATACCTGGCTCTTCTCCTGACTCCAACTTCCTGCTAATGAGAACCCTGGGAGGAAGCAGCAACAGCTCAAATAATTGAGATCCTGCCTCCCACATAGGAGACCCGGACTGCATTCCCAACTAGCCTTTGCAACCATGTGGAGAATGAACCATAGAACCATAGAGAGGGGGCTCTGTGTCTCTTCAAATTTAAAAATAATAACAAAACTCAAAAACAAAGATTACTCCAACTCCAGAACATTTTAATTCTAAAGAGCTTTAATAAGTAAAAAGCCCTGCAGTTTCCAAATGTTCATCAGAAAAGGAAAGAATAATCAGTCCCATCAGTACTGGGAGGAAATTAAAGGACAATAAAGGAAAGGGAAGAGAGATGAAGGTTGGTAACTACCCTCACCCAAAAAGATAAAAACACTGCTTCCTCTAGTAACAACTCAATGTTACCATTACAATAAGGAATAGGCCAGAGGAAAAGAACTGTCCCCATTTGCCTTACATACAGAATCAGGGAGTTAAATGCCAGTTGCACTATTTAGGAATGGCTTGCTAAAACGTTGAAAAAATGAAAGACTTCGTCCTTGTCGTAGACTGCCACCTCAGTGGAACATTCGGTGCACATGACTGGGTGATAGATTTCTTCCACTCCTGCCTCCGCTTGCTCTGCAGCATCTTCATGGGTAGACCTCATCTTCTTATGGCCCCGCCTTTTCTTCCTGTTCTCTGGAGCTTTGTATCTTAGAACCTCCTCTTTGTTGACTGAACAATTCATCACAAACATTGCTCTATATTGAGTTTTGTAAGATTCATGCCTAAGAATAAAATGGAGAAATTAGTATTCATGAATTAGAAATGGAGAATTAGTATTTATGTTCTATTTTAATAGTTATCCACTTAGATAAAACATTTGGAAACACCAAAACTTAATGAAATATCTACCAAAGACAAGACAGAAACAAAACAGCAACCTATCAAAAGTTACAGGATAAGCAAAAGCAGTGTTAAAAGGCAAGTTTACACAGGCCAGTGCTGTGGTGTAGCAGGTAAAGCCTCTGCCTGAAGTACCAACATCCCATATGGACTCTGGTTCATATCCCAGTTCCTCCGCTTCTGATCCAGCTCTCTACTATGGCCTTAGGAAAGCAATGGAAGATGGCCCAAGTTCTTGGGCCCATGCACCCATGTGGGAGACCCAGAAGCAGCTCCTGGCTCCTGGTTTCGGATCGATGCAGCTCTAGCCATTGCAGCCAATTGGGAAGTGAACCAGCATATGGAAGACCTCTCTCTCTCTCTCTCTCTCGCTCTCGCTCTCTCTGCCTCTCCTCTAACTCTGACTTTCAAATAAATAAATAAATCTTTAAAAAAAAGTTATTTACATCAATTGATATCTACATCAAGAAATTGGAAAAGCACCAAATAAATGAGCTATCGATATATCTCAAGGATCTAGAAAAACAACAGCAAACCAAACCCAAAACCAGTAGGAAAAAAGAAATAATTAAAATTAGAGAAGAGGGGCTGGCACTGTGGCATAGCGGGTAAAGCCACAGCCTGCAGTGCCAGAATCTTATATGGGCGCCAATTCAAGTCCCAGCTGCTCTACTTCCAATCCAGCTCTCTGATATGGCCTGGGAAAGCAGTGGAAGATGGCCCAAATCCTTGGGCCCCTGTACCCACATGGGAGACCTGGAAGAAGCTCTTGGCTCCTGGCTTCAGATCAGTGTAGCTCTGGACGTTGCGACCATTTGGGGAGTAAACCAACGGATAGAAGACCTCTCTCTCTCTCTCTCTGCCTCTCCTTCTCTCTGTGTAACTCTTTCAAATAAATAAATATATTTTTTAAAAAATTAGAAGAAATCAACAAAATTGAAACAAAAAAATACAAAAGATCAGCAAAATGAAGAGCTGGTTTTTTGAAAAAATAAACAAAACTGACCACACCAAAAAAAGTGAGAGAGAACAAGCCAAAAAAAAAAAAAAAGGAGGAGACCCAAGTCAATAAAATTAGAGATGAAAAAGGAAATATAGCAACAGACACCACAGAAATAAAAAGAATTATCAGAAATTACTATAAAGAGCTATATGCCAACAAACTGGGGAACCTAGACACATACAACCCACCTAAACAGAGCCATGAAGACATAGAAAACCAACAGACCCATAACCAAGATGGAAATTGAATCAGTAATAAAGACCCTCCCAACAAAGAAAAGCCCAGGACCAGATGGCTTCACTGCTAAATTCTAACAGCCATTTAAAGACCACTACTCCGACTCTTCTCAAGCTATTCAAAACAACTGAAAGGGAGGGAATCCTCCCAAACTCTATGAAGCCAGCATCACTTTAATTCCTAAACCAGAAAAAGATGCAGCTGAGAAAGAGAATTACAGACCAATTTCCCTGATGAACACAGATGCAAAAATCCTCAACTAAATTCTAGCCAATCAAATCCAACAACACATCAGAAAGATAATCCAACCCAGACCAAGTGGGATTTATCCCTGTTATGCAGGGATGGTTCAACATTTGCAAATCAATCAGTGTGATACATCACATTAACAAACAAAAGAACAAAAACCATATGATTATCTCAATAGATGCAGAGAAAGCATTTGATAAAATACAACTTTTTTCATAATGAAAACTCTAAGCAAACTGGGTATAGAAGGAACATTCCTCAACACAATCAAAGCAATCTATGACAAATCCATGGCAAGTGTCCTATTGAATGGGGAAAAGTTGGAAGCACGCCCACTGAGATCTGGAACCAGACAGGGATGCCCACTGTCACCATTGCTATCAGTGAGGTCCTGGAAAGTTTTGGCCAGAGCCATTAGGCAAGAAAAAGAAATCAAAGAGATGCAAATTGGGAAGGAGGAAGTCAAATGATCCCTATTTGCAGATGACATGATTTTATCTATATATAGGGGATCCAAAAGATTCCACTAAGAAACTATTGGAACTCACAGAAGAGTTTGGTAAAGTGGCAGGATATAAAATCAATACACAAAAATCAATAAACTTTGTATACACAGACAATGCCACAGCTGAGAAAGAACTTCTAAAACAAAGCCCATTCACAAAAGCTACCAAAAAAAAAAAAAAATCAAATCCCTTGGAATAAATTTAACCAAGGATGTCAAAAACCTCCATGATGAGAATCACAAAACATTAAAAGAAATAGAAGATACAAAAAAAAGGGGGGGGGGGGGGAATCTTCCATGTTCATGGATTGGAAGAATCGATATAATAAAAATGTCAACACTTCCAAAAGCAATTTACAGATTCAGTGCAATACCAATCAAAATACCAAGAACATTCTTCTCAGATATAGAAAAAATGGGGGCCGGCGCTGTGGCACAGTGGGTTAACACCCTGGCCTGAAGCACCGGCATCCCATATGGGCGCCAGTTTGAATCCTGGCTGTTTCTCTTCCGATCCAGCTCTCTGCTATGGCCTGGGAAAGCAGTAGAAGATGGCCCAAGTGCTTGGGCCCCTGCACACCCGTGGGAGACCTGGAAGAAGCTCCTGTCTCCGGGCTTTGGATTGGCGCAGCTCCAGCCGTTGCGGCCATCTGGGGAGTGAACCATCGCATGGAAGACCTCTCTCTCTGTCTCTACCTCTCTCTGTAACTCTGTCTTTCAAATAAATAAAATAAAACTTTTAAAAAAAAAAGAAAAGAAAAAATGATGTTGAAATTCATATGGAAACACAGGAAACCTCGAATAGCAAAAGCAATCTTATACAACAAAAACAAAGCTGGTAGCATTGCAATACAATTGCAATACAGATTGCAAGACATACTACAGAGCAGTTATAATCAAACCAGCCTGGTACTGGTACAAAAACAGATGGACAGACCAATGGAACAGAATAGAAACGCCAGAAATCAATCCAAGTATCTACAGCTAACTTGTATTTGACAAAGGAGCTAAAACCAATCCCTGGAGCAAGGACAGTCTCTTCAACAAATGGTACTGGGAAAGCTGGAGTTCCAAACGCAGAAGGATGAAACAAGACCCCTACCTTTCACCTTACACAAAAATCCACTCAAAACGGATTAAAGGGGGCCAGCTCCGTGGCACAGTAGGTTAATCCTCCGCCTACGGCACCAGCATCCCATATGGGCACCGGTACTAGTCCTGGCTGCCCCTCTTCCAATCCAGCTCTCTGCTATGACCTGGGAAAGCAGTAGAGAATGGCCCAAGTGCTTGGGTCCCTGCACCTACATGGGAGACTGGGAGGAAACACCTGGCTCCTTGCTTCAGATCGGTGCAGCTCCAGCCGTTGCGGCCATCTGGGGAGTGAACCAACGGAAGGAATACCTTTCTCTCTGTCTTTAGCTCTGTCTGTAACTCTACCTCTCAAATAAATAAATAAAATCTTTAAAAAAATGGTTTAAAGACCTAAATCTATGACTGACACCATCAAATTATTAGAGAATGTTGAGGAAACCATGCAAGACATTGGCACAGGCAAAGAGTTCTTGGAAAAGACCCCAGAAGCACAAGCCATTCAAAGCCAAAATTGACAAATGAGATTACATCAAATTGAGAAGCTTTTGTACTGCAAAAGAAACACTCAGGAAAGTGAAGGGGCAATCAACAGAATGGGAGGAATTATTTGCAAACTATTCAACTGATAAAGGATTAATAACCAGAATCTACAAAGAGATCAAGAAACTCTACATCAACAAAACAAACAGCCCAGTGAAGAAATGGGCAAAGGACTTAAGCAGACATTTTTCAAAAAAGGAAATCCAAATGGCCAGCAGACTCATGAAAAAATGCTCAGGATCCCTAGCAGTCAGGGATCAGGAGTTTCACCTCACCCTGGTTAGACTAGTTTTCATACAGAAATCAACAAACAACAAATGCTGGCGAGGATGTGGGGAGAAAGGTACATTAATCCACAGTTGGTAGGAATGTAAACTGCTAAAGCCACTAAGGAAGACAATATGGAGATACTTCATAAATCTGAACACAGACCTGCCATATGACCCAGCCATCCCACTCCTGGGAATATACCCAAGGGAAATGAAATCAGTATATGAAAGAGTTCATCTGCACCCCCATGTTTACTGCACCCCAATTCATAATAGCTAAGACATGTAATCAACTCAAATGTCCGTCAACTGAAGACTCGACAAAGAAATTATGGGATATGTACACTATGGAATACTACAAAGTGGTAAAAAAAAATAATGAAATCTGGTTATTTACAACAAAATGGATGAATCCAGAAAACATCATATTTAGTGAAATAAGCCAGTCCAAAAGGGACAAATACCACGTTTTCCCTGACCTGTGATAACTAACAGAGCACCTAAAAGGCAATCTGTAGACATAAAATTGACACTTTGAGAAGCATTGACTTGAACAGCCTTTGTCTTGACTGTTGAGGAACATTTTTTTAATACTATTTTTTGAACTCTACTTAACATAGAGTTAAAATTTGTATAAAGTCAATTGAAAATAGATCTCAGTAAAAAATAAGAGTGGGAATAAGAGAAGGAAAAGGAAGAGGGGTTGGGAGTAGGTGTAGGAAGGTGGGCACGGTGGGGAAGAATCACCATGTTCCTAAAGTTGTAATTATGAAGTGAATGAAGTTTATAACTGTAAAGCTGTATAGTTCTGCATACATTCCTACAGACCTACTTCTAACGGTACAGTTTAAAAACTTGCCATGGAATCCCAAATCCCCTTAAACTGGGTGGTAAAAATACCATCTTAGGCCGGCGCCGCGGCTCACTAGGCTAATCCTCCGCCTAGTGGCGCCGGCACACCGGGTTCTAGTCCCGGTTGGGGCGCCGGATTCTGTCCCGGTTGCCCCTCTTCCAGGCCAGCTCTCTGCTGTGGCCAGGGAGTGCAGTGGAGGATGGCCCAGCTGCTTGGGCCCTGCACCCCATGGGAGACCAGGAAAAGCACCTGGCTCCTGGCTCCTGCCATCGGATCAGCATGGTGCGCCGGCCGCAGCGTGCCGGCCGCGGCGGCCATTGGAGGGTGATCCAACGGAAAAGGAAGACCTTTCTCTCTGTCTCTCTCTCTCACTGTCCACTCTGTCAAAAAAAAAAAAAAAAAAAAAAAAATACCATCTTAAGTGTTAAATGATTATATGGATAGGATTAAGTATTTGGTAATAATAACAGATAGAATTAAAAAAGAGTGAATGCTCCAACATAGGAAGCAGTCCTCTCTCTGCCTCTCCTTTCTGTGTAACTCTTTCAAGTAAATAAATAAATCTTTAAAAAAAAAAAAACTACTTTTGGGTCCATTGCTGTGGCATAGTAGGAAAGTTTCTGCCTGTGATGCCAGCATCCCACATGGCCACCAGTTCAAGCCTCAGCTGCTCCACTTCTGATCCAGCTCCCTGTTAATGTGCCTGGGAAAGCAGCAGAAGACAGCCAAGGTCTGTGGGTCCCCACATCTACATGGGAACATGCAAGAAGCCCCTGGTTCCTGGCTTCAGTCTGCCCCAACCCTGACCATTGTGGCCATTTGAGGAGTGAACCAGTGGACAGAAGACCTCTTTCTCTGGGGATGGCGCTGTGGCATAATAGGCAAAGCCGCTGCCTGTGGTGCCCGCATCCTATATGAGCACCAGTTCGACCACTCAGGGAGTGAACCAGAGGATGGAAGACCTCTCTCTCTGCCTCTCCTTCTCTCTGTGTAACTCTGACTTTCAAATAAATAACTAAATCTTTAAAAAAAAAAAAAAAGAACTCTTTCTCTCTGTCTCTCCCTTTCAAATAAATAAAATAAACCTTAAAACAAAAAAGTTTTTAATACAACTATATATCAAAAATTCTTTGTATAGATATTGATCATGTAGCACCAAGGATATGAGTACAGAACCTTATTAGAGGCTGGCGCCGTGGCTCACTAGGCTAATCCTCCACCTTGCGGCGCCGGCACACCGGGTTCTAGTCCCAGTCGGGGCGCCGGATTCTGTCCCAGTTGCTCCTCTTCCAGGCCAGCTCTCTGCTATGGCCAGGGAGTGCAGTGGAGGATGGCCCAAGTGCTTGGGCCCTGCACCCCATGGGAGACCAGGAGAGGAGAAGCACCTGGCTCCTGGCTGCGGATCAGCGCGATGCGCCGGCCGCAGCATGCCGGCGCGGCGGCCATTGGAGGGTGAACCAACGGCAAAAGGAAGACCTTTCTCTCCTGTCTCTCTCTCTCTCTCACTGTCCACTCTGCCTGTCAAAAATAAAAAATTAAAATTAAAATTAAAAAAATTTAAAAAAAAGAACCTTATTAGAATTCCTGAGCACCTTAAAAGTCTACTTCTGACTTACAGGATCACCAAGCTACTTTTTAACCTGTTTTTGTGTACCCTTCACATTACCTCTGGCAATCAAGGCACAGGGTGGTCATGCAGGCAGGGCAATTCAAAACAGCATCACTATTTGGAACTGGCTGTTGTTGCTGGCGTGGTCTCTGTAGTCCAAAACCGTGATAACTAGAACAAAAAAAGAAAATGTACAAGGAGAAGGACATACTAAAACCAGATCTTGATTTGTAGTGCCACCCTCCAAAAAGCGGAACCAGTACTCCTTGGAGAAATGGTTGAGTCAAGGAAAGGTTATGTCTCCCTGCTAATGTGCCTGGGAAAGCAGTGGAGGACAGCCCAAGTGCTAGGGCCCATGCACCCACATGGGACACCCTGGAAGAAGCTCTTGGCTCCTGGTTTGGACTGGCCCAGCTCACCTGTTGCAGCCATATAGGGAGTGAACCATCAGATAGAGGACCTCTGTCTCTCCCTGTTACTCTGCCTCTCAAATAAATTAATTAAGCTTAAAAAAAAAAAAATGCAGAGTTACAGAGAGAGAAGGAGGGAGAACGACAAAGAGAGAGACAGAGAGAGAGACCACCCACCCAATGGCTGTCAAGGTTTCAGTTGGCACCTGTTCCCCTCTGACACAGTCTTATTGTCGTATTTGAGTTTCCAGCACTTCCTTACTCTCTGGCACTATAAGAACTCTATGAGTCTCCCATGTGGGTAGCAGGAACTCCAGTACTTGAGCCACCATCTGCTGCCTCCCAGGAGATTGGATCAGAAGCTGAGCCAGGACTTAGACTTAGCCACTTTGACATGGGATGTAGTTAATCCCAAGTGCATCTTAATCTCCTACACCACAATACTCTCCCTTGTACTACATCACAGCCCTGACCCTGTAACTCAGAATTTCAAATAAATAAATAAATCTTTTTTAAAAAATGCAAAGTAACTTCAAACAGTTATTGAAGGGGCCAGCGCTGCCTGCAGTGTCACATCCCATATGGGCGCCAGTTCAATTCCTGGCTGCTTTGATTCCAATCCAGCTCCCTGCTAATGTGCCTAGAAAAGCAGCAGAGGATGGCCCAAGTGCTTGAGCCTCTGTACCCTTGTGGGAGAAGAAGAAGAGGCTACTGGAATCTGGCTTCAGTATGGCCCAGCACCAGCCATTGTGGCCATTTGAGGAATAAATCAGTGGATGAAAGATCTCTCTGTCTCTCTCCCTCTCTCTCTCTACCTTTGAGAAATTAAATAAATAAGATTAAAAAAAAGTTTGTGGAAAATGTAATTAAAAAAATTAAGGGGCAGACAAAGGACACAGGCTTTCCATGTTGGAGTGCCTGGGATTAAGTCCCATTTTTGCTTCCAATCCAGCTTCCTGCCAAGGTGCCTACTGGGTAGCAAAGATGGTCCAATTACTAGGGTTCCTGTCACCAATGCGGGAGCTCCAGATAGTTTCTGGCTGTTGTGGGCATTTGGGCAGTGAGCCAGAGGATAGGATATCTCTCCCTTTGACTGTCTGTCTTTCCCTCTTTGTCACTCCACCTTTCAAATAAGCACATAAAACTATTTTTAAAAAAAGATTCATAGGGGCCGGCGCTATGGCGCAGCAGGTTAAAGCCCCTGCCTGAAGCGCCAGCATCCCATATGGGTGCCAGTTCTAGTCTCAGCTGCTCATCTTCTGATCCAGCTCTCTGCTATGGCCTGGGAAAGCAGTAGAAGATGGCCCAAGTCCTTGGGTCCCTGCACCATGTGGGAGACCCCAGAAAAAGCTCCTGGCTCCTGGCTTCAGATCAGCGCAGCTCCAGCAATTGCAGCCTTCAGGGGAGTGAACCAGCAGATGGAAGACCTCTCTCTCTGTCTCTACCTCTCCCTGTAACTCTTTCAAATAAATAAAATAAATCTTAAAAAAAAAGATTCACACAAAAAGCAAAAAACAAAAACAAAAAAAGATTCATGTTTGGGGCTAGCATTTGGTACAGTGGTTAAAACACTGACATCCCACATCAGAGTGCCAGTAATGACTCCACCTCCAACTCTAGCCTACTGTTAACGTACATCCTGGGAGGCAGCAGGTAATGGCTCAACTATTTGGGTCTCTGCCATCCAACGTGGGCAGGAGACCTAGACTGAGTTCTGGGCTTTGGCCAAAAGATGAAATATCTATCTGCCTTTCAAATATATAAATAAAAATTTTTTAAGATTTACATTTGTGGCTGTGGCGCAGGTTAAGCATCCACCTGAGGTACCAGCATCCCATACGAGAATGCAAAAGCAGAACACTGGGAGGCTCAGGTGGTGATGGCTCTGCCACCTAAGAGACCTGAACTGAGTTCCTAACTGTCTCAGCTCCAGCCCAGCCCCAGGCCTTGTGGGCATCTGGAGAGTGAACCACTCTCTCTCACTCTCTCAATTAAATACACAATTTTTTTAAATACATGCAGCTTTTTCCTAGTACAAATTTTCCATGAACTTTCTGAAGACCCCCGATACATTAAAATATAAATGTAGTAAAGTTATTTTTCTAAAGATTCTAAATATTAAGTTTAAACTCTTACCCCCTTCTTTGTGCATCAACCCAGGCCTGGTCTCTGTTATCTTTTTCAGGATCATACAGTAATTCATCATTTGTTGGAATCCTGTGTTGTTTCTTCTTTTTCTTCTTGGTCACCTGTGCTAATTTAGAAAAAGTTAAGGGTTCACACTTCTTATGCAGAAATGAAGAATTCCATCTCCCAAGCTACACTTTATTCTATTTTTCTAAAAAAAAAAAAAAAAAGTTTAAAAGCTATTCCTTTAAATAAAGTTCTTGTCCAATTAGCAAGCCATTAAAATAAAGATGACAGAGAAAGCAAACTATTTCTTCATCAAAACCTAGTATCTCAAGGACCAAGTATAAATAATGAGAATTCAGAGTCTCAAACAGATGACTGAGGGCAGTGCTGTGGCACAGTGGGTTAAGGCCCCAGCCTGTAGCACCGGCATCCCATATGGGTGCTGGTTCAAGTCCCGGCTGCTCCACTTCTGATCCAGCTCCCTGCTAATGTGCCTGGGAAAGCAGTAGAAGATGGCCCAAGTCCTTGAGCTCCTGTACCTATGTGGAAGACCTGGAAGAAGCTCCTGGCTCCTGGCTTCTGATCAGCTCAGCTCTGGCCCTTGTGGCCATTTGGGGAGTGAACCAACAGATGGAAGACCTCTCCCTCTCTACCTTACTCTACCTCTCTCTGTAACTCTTTCGAGTAAATAAAATAAATCTTAAAAAAAAAAAAAAGTCACTGAATGGGGCCAGTGCTGTGGCGCAGTGGATTAACGCCCTGGCCTGAAGTGCTGGCATCCCATATGGATGCCGGTTCAAGTCCCAGCTGCTCCACTTCCCATCCACTTCCCATCCAGCTCTTTGCTATGGCCTGGGAAAGCAGTAGAAGATGGCCCAAGTCCTTGGGTCCCTGCACTCGTGTGGGAGACCCGGAAGAAGTTCCTGGCTCCTGGCTTCGGATCGGCGCAGCTCTAGCCATTGCGGCCAACTGGGGAGTGAACCATTGGAAGAAAGACCTCTCTCTCTCTCTCTCTCTAACTCTAACTCTAACTCTAACTCTAACTCTAACTCTGCCTCTGCCTCTGCCTCTCCTCTCTCTGTGTAACTCTGACCTTAAAATAAATGAATACATCTTTAAAAAAACATAGTTGATCAGGGAATATAAACTGGGACTGTTAGCATTAAAAAAAAAATCACTGAAAACAAACCAAGAACAGAAACTATTTTTGATGTATAAATTCTCCACAAGTTCCCATATAAAAAGTGCAACTGAGGAGCAGGCATTGAGCCTCGCCTGAAGATACCCAGGCTCAATTCCCAGCTCCAGTTTCCTGTTAATATGCACCCTAGCAGGCAGTGATGACAGTTCAAGTAATTGGCTTCTGCCATCTAGCTTGGAGACCAAGACTGAGTTACTGGCTCCCAGATTTGACCCCAGACCTGCCCCAGCCATCGCAGGTATTTGAGGAGTTGATGAGCAGAGGGGAGCACTTTCTCTCTGTTATATGTACCTCTGCTTCTCTAAAATAAAATAAATCTGATGCTACTAAAATCAGAATAAAAATATTTCAAAATGAGTCAGGAGAACTCATAGCTATCCAGATATACTACACTTTTAAAATGTACTCTAGCAAATCAATAGTTAAGTACTAATATTTAAAAATATAAAATTGGGGCCGGCGCCGCGGCTCACTGGGCTAATCCTCCGCCTAGCGGCGCCGGCACACCGGGTTCTAGTCCCGGTCGGGGCTCCGGATTCTGTCCCGGTTGTCCCTCTTCCAAGCCAGCCCTCTGCTGTGGCCAGGGAGTGCAGTGGAGGATGGCCCAGGTGCTTGGGCCCTGCACCCCATGGGAGACCAGGAAAAGCACCTGGCTCCTGGCTCCTGCCATCGGATCAGCGCGGAGCGCCGGCCGCAGCGCGCCGGCCGCGGCGGCCATTGGAGGGTGAACCAACGGCAAAGGAAGACCTTTCTCTCTGTCTGTCTCTCTCACTGTCCACTCTGCCTGTCAAAAAAAAAAAATAAAAAAAATAAATAAATAAAAAAAAATATAAAATTGGGGCCAGAGTTGTGGCACAGTGGACTAAGTCGCTGTTTATAACACTGGCACCCCCTGCGGGAGTGTTAGTTGAAGCCCTGGCTACTCTGCTTCTGACAGTTCCCAGGTTATACACCTAGGAAAGATGGCCCAAGTATTTGGGCCCCTGCAACCCAGTGGGAGACCTACATGAAGTTCCTAGCTCCTGGCTTCCGTCTGGCCCAGACCAGCCCACTCCTGTCTGTTGAGGCCATATGGGGAATGAACCAGCAGACTGAAGATTCTCTTCCCCATGGGGCTGGCACTGTGGCGTAACACGTATAGCCGCTACCTGCAGTGCCAGTATCCTATATGGGCACTGACTTGAGTCCCAGCTGCTCCACTTCTAATCCAGCTCTCTGCTATGGCCTGGGAAAGCAGTAGAAGATGGCCCACGTCCTTGGGTCCCTACACCAGCGTGGGAGACCTGGAAGAAGCTCCAGGCTCCTGGCTTTGGATCAGAACAGCTCCGGCTGTTGCGGCCATCTGAGAAATGAGCCAGTAGATGGAAGACCCTTCTCTGTCTTGTCTTGTCTTCTCTCTCTCTCTCTCTCTCTCTCTCTCTCTCTCTCTGCCTCTGCCTTTCAAATAAATAAATAAACCTTAAAAAAAAAAAAAAGATAAACTCTCTTCCCCCAACTTCAACCCTTAACTCTGCCTTTCAAATAAATAAATCTTAAAATTACATATATAGGAGCTGGTATTGGAACCCAGAAGGTGAACCACTGCTTGCAAAGCCAGAATCCCATGTCAGAGTACCAAGTTTGTGTCCCAGCTGTTCTGTTTCTGATCTAGTTCCCTGCTAATGCACCCTAGAAAGCAGCAGAGGGTCCAAGTACTTGGGCTCTTGCCACACACCTGGGAGAACCAGAGTTCTAGGTTCTTGTCTTCACCCTGGCCCAGCCCTATTTCCTGCAAGTATTTAAGGAGTGAACCAGTGGATAGAAGATGTCTCTCTATTCATCTCTGTGTCTCTAGCTTTATTTCTTTTATATAAATTTTTTTAAGATTTTTTTTTTAGGGGCCGGCGCTGTGGCCTAGCGGGTAAAGACGCTGCCTGCAATGCCGGCATCCCATATGGGCACCGGTTTGAGTCCTGGCTGCTCTACTTCTGATCCAGCTCTCTGCTGTAGCCTGGGAAAGCAGTGGAAGATGGCCCAAGTCCCTGAGCCCCTGCATCCAAGTAGGAGACCTAGAAGAAGCTCCTGGCTCCTGGCTTTGGATGGGTGTAGCTCCGGCTGTTACAGCCAACTGGGGAGTGAACCAGTGGATGGAAGACCTACCTCCCTCCCTCCCTCCCTCCCTCCCTCCCTCCCTCTCTCTCTCTCCCTCTCTCTCTCTCTCTGTATCTATAAAACTTTTCTAAGTGCCACTGTTTTGAATGGTACGAAATAAGTCTCCAATAACACCTATATTTAAATCAAAAAAAAATAGAGATTTTCTTTTTGAACCCTGAAGTCAGAGTAACAAAGAGAGAGAAGGCGGGGCCGAGAGTGAATAACATGAGAAGTCCTTGCCGGGGGGGGGGGGGGGGGGGGGGGAATGGGTGGAGCTTGGGCCGCTTCACAAGCCAGGAGGTCGTCTCTCTCGAGGAGTGTACTGTTCAGGTGACCCAAAGACTGTCTTCTACTGCTTTCCCAGGCCACAGCAGAGAGCTGGATCAGAAGTGGAGCAGCCAGGTTTCAAACCAGTGTCCAAATGGGATGCCGGAACTGCAGGTAGCAGCCTTACCTGCTATGCCACAGCGTCGGCCCCTCTAGCTTTATTTCAAATAAATTTTTAAAAATACAAATAAATGGGGCTGACGCTGTGGCGTAGCAGGTAAAGCTGCCACCTGCAGTGCAGGTATCCCATATGAGTGCTGGATCGCGTCCCAGCTGCTCCACTTCCAATCCAGCTCTCTGCTATGGCTTGGGAAGGCAGTAGAAGATGGCCCAAGTCCTTGGGCCCCTGTAACTGCATGGAAGACCCAGAAGAAGCCCCTGGTTCCTGATTTGGATCAGTGCTGCTCTGGCCGTTGCGGCAATTGGGGAATGAACCAGTGGATGGAAGACCTCTCTCTCTCTCTGCCTCTCCTTCTCTCTGTGTAACTCTGACTTTCAAATAAATAAATAAATATTAAAAATAAAGTAAAATAAAAATAGAAAAGTAAAAGGGCTGGCGCTGTGGCACAGTGGGTTAAGCAGCTGCCTGTGACGTCAACATTCTATATTCTATATGAGAGACGGTTGAAGTCCCAGCTGCTCCACTTCCAATCTGCCTTCCTGCTAATGCACCTGAGAAAGCAGTGGAAGATGGCCCAAATGCTTGGGCCCTTGAGCCCCTGCCACCCTCACGGGAGACCTGGATGGAGTTCTGGATTTCTGTTTTTGACATGGCCCAGCTCTAGCCACTGCAGCCATATGGGGAGTGAACCAATAAATGGAAGCCCTTGCTCTTGCTCTCTCTCTCTCTCTCTCTCTGTCTTGCCTCCCTCTCTGTAACTCTTTCATATAAATAAATAAATCTTTTAAAAATAAAAATAAATAAGCAAATAAATAATAAGGAAAATCATTTGGAGATGTGAAAACAAATGCTGCTACTCCAAGGAAACTAAAGAGTTAGGGGAGTCAAGAGCCCTGAACAGAAGAGGTAGTGAATCAGGACAACTCTACCCTTGCAGCACCACTGCTGGTGCTGTGTCCTCACATGTCTCTATCCTCAACTTTTCTTAATTCTGCTTTTGCCTTCATATCAATGGCCCGCAGTTTCTTAAAAGATAAAACTCAGAGGAAAGTCTTAATATGAAATAATTTGTCAGGTAAACCTTTTTTCCTAAAATATAACTGCTAAACCCAGTAAATACCAGTGTAAAACTTACCTGCTTTGTCTTCATCCTCAGAATCAGAATCAAAATATATGTCATCATAATACTTTGTCAGAACCGTTCCAACTTTCCCATTTTCCGAGGAAGACCCTATTCAAACCAGAAATGAAATTTAGAGTAAACTATATGTAATTCACAAGAGAAAAACTCCATATATTCTTCCATTACCTTAAGGGACTACCAACTCATTCACAATCCCATTTGGAGGTGGAAATATTTTCACATCAATGATTTACTCAATTTCTTTGGCCTCTGCCTTTACAAATTAAGAGTTCCAAATCATGAGAAAAGTATTCTCCCTCCTTTCCCACACTATCCTTAAATGAAAAAGCCACTTCAGGTTGCCAGCAAATCTCTACCTTTCAGTCATGCAGTATATTGTGCAGAACAGGATATTAATGTCTTAGCTGACTTTAGGGGAAAGAGGGTAAGAACCCTACAGGAAGGCAGAGGAATGAGTCAAGGACATCCTCTTCTTCTCTTGGTTGTACCCAGTACCATGACATTTCCTCTATTTATCTCATAATTCTTCCTCTTAATATCTGCTTTAGCTTTTACCTTTATCATCATTGCTATTATATGCTTTCACTTCTTAACTGTTTAATAATGAGTCCTACTTTCCTTTCACACACCAGATTCTAGGTCAGGAATATTATACATAAAGACCAAGCACAATAATGAGGCATATTTCATTATTTATTACAATGAAACAAGAATTCGGGGCTGGCGCTGTGGCACAGGTTAATCCTCCGCCTGCAGCACCTGCATCCCATATGGGCACCGGTTCTAGTCCCAGCTGCTCCTCTTCCCATTCAGCTCTCTGCTGTGGCCTGGGAAAGCAGTAGAGGATGGCCCGAGTCCTTGGGCCCCCGCACCCGTGTGGGAGACCAGGAGGAGGCTCCTGGCTCCTGGCTTCGGATCGGCACAGCTCCTGCCGTTGCAGCCACTGGGGAGTGAACCCACGGAAGGAAGATCTTTCTCTCTGTCTCACCTCTCTCTGTTTGTAACTCTACCTCTCAAATAAATAAAATCTTTAAAAAAAAAAAAGAAAAGAAACAAGAATTCGTAATGACACCTATTTAAAGTGCTAGATCAGCACCATCTAACCCTAAAAATACTTCCACAGGCTTATATCTTTCTTTTTTGATCCTGAAGTAATACTATAAAAGGAAATGCAGGCCGGCGCGTGGCTCAACAGGCTAATCCTCCGCCTTGCGGCGCCGGCACACCGGGTTCTAGACCCGGTCGGGGCGCCGGATTCTGTCCCGGTTGCCCCTCTTCCAGGCCAGCTCTCTGCTGTGGCCAGGGAGTGCAGTGGAGGATGGCCCAAGTACTTGGGCCCTGCACCCCATGGGAGACCAGGATAAGTACCTGGCTCCTGCCTTCGAATCAGCACGGTGTGCTGGCCGCAGCACGCCGGCCGCGGCGGTGGCCATTGGAGGGTGAACCAATGGCAAAGGAAGACCTTTCTCTCTGTCTCTCTCTCTCTCACTGTCCACTCTGCCTGTCAAAAAAAAAAAAAAAGAAAAAAAGAAAAAGGAAATGCAGGCCAGCGCCGTGGCTCAATAGGCTAATCCTCCGCCTGCAGCGCTGGCACACCAGGTTCTAGTCCCGGTCAGGGTGCCGGACTCTGTCCCGGTTGCCCCTCTTCCAGGAGGCCAACCCTCTGCTATGTCCCAGGAGTGCAGTGGAGGATGGCCCAAGTGCTTGGGCCCTGCACCCACATGGGAGACCAGGAGAAGCACCTGGCTCCTGGCTTCAGATCAGCACGGTGCGCCGGCCGCAGCACGCCAGCCATGGCAGCCATTGGAGGGTGAACCAATGGCAAAGGAAGCTCTTTCTCTCTGTCTCTCTCTCTCTCACTGTCCACTCTGCCTGTCAAAAAATAAAAAAAAATTTCAAAAAAAAATCAATGCTTCCTAGTGCAATATCTTCTTAACACCCACTGAGAGCTCTTATTTAAAAAAAAAAAAAAGGAAATGCAAATAAACAGCACTAAAGTCTCTTTTTTAACAACACAGAACATTTCTCCACAGTCATCAAAGAAAACTCTGGCTCAACCAACTGAACACATTTATTCCCTTACTCAGTAAATATTGTCTGAGCACCTACTGAAAGTGCAAGCCTTTATGGAGCTCATGAAACTATACCTATGAAAACTGAACCCAAAGTTCACCTGTTCCCAGAGAGGACAACTTGTCCTCCATTGTTTGTATGGTAGAATTTAATTCAGCTTCCATTTCTTTTTCAAATTCATCTTCACTAGATGATTCACTTTCACCAGTAAGACATTCTCTGATGAGTTTTCGTTTTTGGTCTGGAGTTCCATGTAAAAGCACATCCACTTCATCTTCAGAACTAGTAAACGTTCATTCAAATGAGAAGAAAATACAAAAATATTTAACAAGTGAAAAACAAGTCTTCCATCATCACACTATCTACCATGTTTTAGATTTTTGTTTTTGTTTTTGTTTTTTGAGGCAGAGAGAGCACTCTCACCCACTGGTTCTCTCCCCAAATGTTCACATGGCTTGGGCTGGGCCAGGCTGAAGCCAAGAGCCTACAACACAATGCAGGTGTCCTGCTTGGGTGGCAGGGACCCACCACTTGAATCATCATCTACAGCCTCCCAGAATCTGTACTAACAGGAAGAAAGAGGACACAGAGCTGGGACTTGAAGACAGGCACTGTCGCTCCCCCTCTTCGTGGAGGAACGACACAGGACCCTGCGCTGTTCTTTCGTCTGCTCGGCCCTCCCCGGGTTTGCTGCTGGTTCTTCCCGGGTTGGCTACTATCCTTCCACCTCCGTGGAAGGGCAGTTCCCCCTGGCCACATTCCCCACTTCCGCAGGGGAGCGGCACACCGCTGGCCGGCTCTCTTGGGGGCTGCACAGGTGTTCCCCTTAGATGTTCCCCTTAGATGTTCCTGGTGCATGCCGTCTCTCTCCTCCTTTATAGTCCTCCTCCGCCAATCCCAACTCGGCTGCCCACACGCCGAGTACGCTGCTCTCCAATCAGGAGCAAGTCCTACAGTTAATTGGTTGAACTGGAGGCAGCTGTGCGGAAGCTGTTTACTTCTCTCCCAGCGCCATATTGTGGGAGAGCAGATGCATAGAATAAGTCTTAATTCCAGTAACTCAGTCCAGTCCGGATTGCTCCCCACAGATCCCCCTTTCTTTTTATTTTTGGCGTTGATACGCGCCTGTCTTCCGTGTCCCGCGGCACACACTCTGCTCTACTTGCTAGAGTTGCCACAGGCTCTTACAAGTCCTATCAATCAGGCAAACGGAATCCAAGCCTTCTCATTGCCATGTTGAGGGGAGGCCTTTCTGATGTTAATTCGTGCCTGTCTTCGGTGACCTGCGGCGCATAAGCTGCTAGGCGCCGCAGGTGCTCATCGCCTCACTTAATCAGGCAGACCGAATCCAAGCTCTCATATTGCAGTGTTGTAGGGAGGCCTTTCTATTTCTCTATTTCTCTATCTCCGGGCATTCCTATTTCTCCCATTTTACTTCTATCTTCCAGCATTCCCATTTCTCTCATTTTACTTCTAAACTTTTGTTTCTCTTATCCCTGCGGCTTTCCGGTGCCCGCCCCGAGGCTGCTTCCCGGCTCTGAGCCGCTTCAGCCCACGTCTCTCTCATCTGCGCGGCTCGGCTTTGCGCGCACACTCCGCGGTCTCGCACTTAACCCTTTCGCGTCTGAACCACGGCCTCGTGCCAGCCCCGCGTTCCCTATGTACTTGAGCCCCGCACGCTCTGTCTGCGCGCGGCAGCCTCCACGAGTCACACAGCGTAGCTTACGTCTCCGCCACTAGCATTCAATCTAAGTTCCCCGGGCTAGCCTGGCGAATTCAACCCAGCATACGTCTCCGCCCCACGGTTTGGCTTCCCGTCCTTTGCTCCCCGGGCTAATCAGACGGATCCCAATCTGGCTTACGTTTCAGCTTCTGGTTTTAACTTTTCGCCCCCTATTCCCGGGCTAACTTGAGAATCCCAAAGTGGCTTTCGTATCCGCCTCAGCCTGCCCCCCGCGGCTTCAATTTCCCTAACATTTTTCTCTACCCGGTATGTTTCCCTAAGTCTTCTTCCAACAATATTCCTCCCTCATTTCTCCTGGCCTCTCCCCACAGTCCGCGTCCGAGTCTGTTTGTTCTAGCTTTCACTTTCGCTTTCGACCTTAGAGATTTCTCAAAGCTTCCCCCCGTAGTCCGTATCTGAGTCTATGCCTAGGCTTTTCAATAGCTTCTTCCGGCACCTTTTTCGTCCGGCTTTTCCCTAGGCTGTTTGCTAGTCTCTCTTTCCGATATTTTCCCTAGGCTGTTTGCTAGTCTCTCTCTTCGATATTTTCCCAGTTCTTCCCGTTTCTTCCCTCCTAGGTTTCCTATCCGTCCTAGGTTTCCTATCCGAGCTAGGTTTCCTATCCGAGTCATTTCTTCCCTCCTAAGTTTCCTATCCGAGTCACGGCACCATTATGTCGCTCCCCCTCTTCGTGGAGGAACGACACAGGACCCTGCGCTGTTCTTTCGTCTGCTCGGCCCTCCCCGGGTTTGCTGCTGGTTCTTCCCGGGTTGGCTACTATCCCTTCCACCTCCGTGGAAGGGCAGTTCCCCCTGGCCACATTCCCCACTTCCGCAGGGGAGCGGCACACCGCCGGCCGGCTCTCTTGGGGGCTGCACAGGTGTTCCCCTTAGATGTTCCTGGTGCATGCCGTCTCTCTCCTCCTTTATAGTCCTCCTCCGCCAATCCCAACTCGGCTGCCCACACGCCGAGTACGCTGCTCTCCAATCAGGAGCAAGTCCTACAGTTAATTGGTTGAACTGGAGGCAGCTGTGCGGAAGCTGTTTACTTCTCTCCCAGCGCCATATTGTGGGAGAGCAGATGCATAGAATAAGTCTTAATTCCAGTAACTCAGTCCAGTCCGGATTGCTCCCCACAGGCACATGATCTGGGACTTCAACTGGGGACTCAGGTGTTTTAAATCAGCCAAACACCTACTTTCTAAAAATAATTATAAGTTTTACAAGATCACATTTGATACATCTATCACATATTATATACAGCTAGTCTCACTTAATAGATTAACCAGTTTTGTGTATTTCTTTTTAATGAGTACATAACAGGGCCAGCATTATGGTGTAGTGGGTTAAGTCTCTTGCCTGTGACATTAGCATCCCATATGGCCACCAGTTCAAGTTCCAGCTGCTCCATTTACAATCCAGTTCCCTACTAATGCACCTGGGAAAGCAGTGAAAGATGGCCCCAACTCCTTGGGACCCTGCACCCATGTGGGAGAACCAAAAGAAGCTCCTGGCTTTGGCCTCACCCAGACTCAGCCGTTGCAGCCATTTGAGAAGTCAACCAACCAGCAGATAGAAGACCTCGCTGTCTCTCCAACTCTGCCTTTCAAAATAAATAAATCGTGGTCTCTCCTTTTTTTTATTCTTATTTTTCTATCTCTGCACAGGCAGAGTGGACAGTGAGAGAGAGACAGAGACAGAGAGAAAGGTCTTCCTTTGCCGTTGGTTCACCCTCCAATGGCCGCCGCAGCTGGCGCGCTGCGGCCGGCGCACCACTCTGATCCGATGGCAGGAGCCAGGTACTTCTCCTGGTCTCCCATGGGGTGCAGGGCCCATGCACTTGGGCCATCCTCCACTGCACTCCCTGGCCACAGCAGAGAGCTGGCCTGGAAGAGGGGCAACCGGGACAGAATCCGGCGCCCCGACCAGAACTAGAACACGGTGTGCCGGCGCCACAAGGCGGAGGATTAGCCTAGTGAGCCGCGGCACCGGCCAATAAATCTTTAAAAAACAAAATGTATACATAACATTTCCTCAGGGCCAGCACTGTGGAACAGTGGGTAAAGCTGCTGTCTGCAGCACCAGCATTCCATATGGGTGCTGGTTCGAGTTCCAGATACTCCACTTCCCATCCAGCTCCCAGCTGGTGGTCTGGGAAAAACAGCAGAAGATGGTCCAAGTGCTTGGGGCTCTGCTACCCATATGGGAGACTCACATAAAGTTCTTAAATCCTGGCTTCAGCCTGGCCCAGCCCAGCTGTTGTGGACATCTAGGGAGTGACCCAGCGGATTGGAAGATCTCTGTCTCTCCCTCTCTCTCTGTAACTCTTTCAAAAAATAAATAAATCTTAACAACAAAAACACTACAATGGACATCTTTGTATATGTACTTGTATATATCTTTCTGACCTCTTATACTATTATACTGCTTTCCAAGAACACCAATTCGTAATTCTATCCACAATGAAAAGTTTACTTCGCCAGACTGAAAATACATGATTAATACATAGCTAACATATCCACATATATAGCTAATATATACACAAAACATTAACAGATAGTCATTAAACATTACAAATCAAAAGGCACAGTGGTACAAAGAGCTGTAAAAGAAGACAAGCAGCTGTGGCTCTGCTACACACACGGGTGGTGTTCTCGGGTAGGAACATCTAGGAAGTAAATCAGCGGATCGGAGAATGCTTGTGCTTGTGTATGCTTTCTCTGCATCTCAAATGTTTAAAAATTTAAAGAGAAAGATATTCCAAATTCTGAGCAACTTTTTTAAAGATTTATTTTTATTTTATTTGAAAGGTAGAGTTAGAGAGAGGAAGAGACATAGAGAGAAATCTTCCATCCACTGTTTCACTCCCCAAGTGGCTGCAATAGTCAGGGTGGGGCCAGACTGAAGCCAGGAATCAGAAGCTTCTTCTGGGTCTCCCACATGAGTGGCGGGGCCCAAGCACTTGGGCCATCCTCCGCTGCTTTTCCAGGCATATTAGCAGAGAGCTGGACTGGAAGTGAAGCATCCAGGACATGAACTGGTGCTCATATGAGATGCTGGCACTGCAGACAGTGGCTTAACCCTGTGCCATAACACCAGCCCCTGCTGAGCAATTTCTGCAAATTCACTTTATCATCTGTGCCTGGGTTTCCTCATCCATTGAGAAGTAAACTAGGGAGGCCGGCACCATGACACAGTAGGTTAATCCTCCATCTGCAGTACTAGAATTCCATATGGGTTCCGGTTCTAGACCTGGTTGCTCCTATTCCAATCCAGCTTTCTGCTGTGGCCTGGGAAAGCAGCAGCAGATGGCTCAAGCGCTTGGGCCCCTGCACCTGCCTGAGAGACCAGCAGGAAGAAGCACCTGGCTTCTGGCTTCTGGCTTCAGATCAGCACAGCTCCAGCCATTTCGGCCATTTGGGGAGTGAACCAAAAGAAGGAAGACTTTTCTCTCTGTTTCTCCCTCTCACTGTCTGTAAACTCTACCTCTCAAATAAATAAATAAAATCTTAAAAAAAAAAGTAAACTAGGCATCAGGAAGAATGTAATACAATCACAATAAGGAAAACTTCTTAAACATCTCTAATAGAATCAG